AAAAAGATTACAGAAAGAAATCCCAGATTCTTTTACATACTTCAGACTATGCTCAAAAAACAATTGAGTGGTGAGATAAGAAAAATATATAGGTTTGTTTGGACAGTTATATGTTAGAATAGCACTTGTATGAAGTTATATAGAATAATTTCATTTAGGAACTGTTAGCAAAGGTTGTATTTCTGCACAGGTTTGACCAGCAGTTGTCCCTGAAGAACAGTCATGAATATGGTTATACCAAGAATACTAGTAAGAGAGGAGACAGTATGGAGTTTGGGGATGACCAGCATCAGTCCTCAGTACTTAAAACAGCTGGAACCTTATATTACTCTCTGTAAAGGATTCATGCAGTGTTTGTGTCCTGTAAACACAGCTAAAGAGACTCTTGATAATACAGAAGACTGGAATAGTGGAACATGTGAGACATCATCCAGTAGTCTCTGTGTGAATCCACACAACCTCTCAGAAGTGTAACAGAATGGTCTTTTTACTATGCTGACTGTCACAAGACACAGCTTAGCATCAAGATACCTGGCCCGGCTTGTGAGGTTCTCCTAAAATTGACTAAGCAAAATGGCATTATACTGTTTACTCTGAGTTTACATCTGTGACCTTGTTCAAATGTAATATTTCCCTGTGGACAATTTAACTTTGAATCACACCAGTCCTTCCTTGGTAGTAGTCTTGAATATTGTGGAACTAATATTTGAAGCATTTGTAAGGGGCCATAGTCCTGGCTAGTGCTAGTATTTTAATCCAAGCTACGGGATTTTCTACAAAATAAACAAACAAAAATGTTATGAGTTTGCATAGACAGTTAATTCTTAGCCAGAGAAGGGAGATGTATAGTTGGCTTTAGGCTTTTTCTTGTTCTTTTTGCCTTATGGAGAACCTAAAAAACTATGGTATTGGGTACCAGACAAAGAATTAAAATAGGCAAGTTGGAACATACTTATTTATAGGATATTTTTGGTTGCATAAAACTTGCAAAAAATGATGTTGCTCTGCAGCTTAACTGGACTGACCATAGTACTATATTTTCAAAAAAAAATTTATTACTAATGTCTCAGTGTTGCTGGTAGCACTTGTTTTTCAGGAGAGAAAATACGGTGACATGGTTTTGTATGCTTGTGCATATGTATGCTGTGAACAGTCTACTTTAAATATGCATGTGTGGTATACATATGTGTAATGTAAGGTATAAGCTTAAAAGAGTTAACCCGAGTATGCAAGAGACTTGAGTTCTTGTGAATGTTTCCCTAATTTAAAACTAGAAATAGTGAAAGAAGTCAGTATAGTGTCTTGATGAGGATGAAATGAGCATCCGTGTTAAAGTATGTCTAGTATGTTTCTGTTAATTATTCGTGGAGGCCAGGTTGTGTTTTTGGACGGGGACCTTTGTTGCATAATTACTCAGATTTAATGATTTAGCTTGTGATATGAAGAGCTGAAGAGTTTATAATTCTTATTGTTACAGATTTTTATTTTCGTCTGTGTCTATTAGAAAGATGGGTTTTAATAGGCTGGTAATGATGACACTGTTGAATTAGGAGATGTATTGCTACACTAAGGCACTTTAATTGTCATAACCGTGACATTTTAAACAAGGTTTTAAGCGGTAGACTATAGTGTAAGTATTTGCATCATATATTTACCTGGTGACCAGTGACACTGACTTCAGAAAGATGAGTCCAGGGTTGTTGTTGCAGAGCTTTAAATAACTAACTAAATTTTCATTAGCACTGTCCATGGATTTACTTGTGGCTAGCCTTTTTGGAGAGAATAGAGCTGAATTGGTCTTAGAAATGGCACAGCAGGATTTTGCAGCTCTCTGGCTCTGATTGCACCAATATGGCACTCCTTAGGCTGCAACAATAAACCATAGAAAAGAAGCTCGCAATAAAATTTGAGTCTTGCTTTTGATTTCCTCCCTCTGTATTTTCCTAGCATTGTTTTAGAAAGACTTTACATTTTTGGTGGCATCATATGGTTCCAGTATTGTGATTAAAATAAGTATATGACGTGCTAATTAACTAACAGTACACTATAAGTTCACCATGACTTATGACTTATCTTTGAGAAACACTTATTCATGAAAGTTTGAAGAGGATATAATTTATTTTTTCCTACATGATTTGTAAAGAATAGCTGTGATGGTAGGTTGATGAGGCTTCTTGGAAAAATAATGTGTACCTTGCATTTTGTCTTGGTTTTAGAGTGATGAGAAAAGAGTTAAAGACCTAAAGAATAGAAATTGTAATTATTTTATTTATGATGTAACTGCTCATGCTGGCACAAAAAAGTTGACTGTCAAAATCCACATGTGGGTTTGTTCTCAAGTTTTGCTGGTGTCATATTATTTTTGGGCTGTCAAAGCCTGCAAAGCTTCAACTTTTTGTGAATTAGTGGCCTTATACTTCTGAGGTCACTGTGTCTGATTCTTGGGGTTTGTCCTGTGGACATGTTTCTGTTGTAGCTGCAATTGAAATAATTCTAGGAAGCTAAATTTCTGTTTCAGTAGAGGGAGATGAGTAAATTATAACAAAGAAAAGACCTGGAGAGTCTCACACAGAACCACATGGTAAGAGGTCAGGTCATACTTGGCTGAGATAATTTTCAGGGAGGTGTTTCTGCATCTGAAATCAATGTTCAGGGTTTAGATATGAGATACTGGAATTTAGACGCGGCTTTCCAAATCTGGGGAGACTTAGATTTTTGGGATGCAGAGTATCAACTACTGTTATTTACCTGAAACTCTTAATGTATTTGGTGTCTCTTTTTGCTTTCCATAGGAATTTGATGCATAGTCTTACATGTTTTGCAAACATAAGACTGACACTGCTCTTCATCATTACATGTCTAAATATATTTTGATATTTGCCCCTAAGTCTGCATGGTCAGATGGGTGTTAGAATATATGTTATACTCCACATTCAGCAAACTGTTGGGGAGAAAAGCTTCTACCCCAGAAAAAGCTCTACTCAATTGAGAAGCAAAAATTCTGCATGTTTACTTCACAGAAGCAGCAAAAAGTTTGGGTGTGTTTTTTTTTTTTTTTTCCCCTGTCAGTATAAAATGGCCTTGCAATAGCTAACCCTCTGTGTGTGATTGCTGTTATGGAAATAACTGTCTTTTGTAATAATAAACTATTTTTCTCAGGGAACCTTTTTGTAATTTATGCAATCCTGAAAGAAATTAAGTGTTTCTCCTGGCTGAAGGAGGGTGCCAGACTGAAGCACTTCTCTGACAGTCTTAGAAAATTTTTAAAAAGCCTTTCACTTGAACATGTGTGGAAAAACAGTTTGTGACCTTCCCATCAGAGTCACATAGTTCCTGAAAGAGCTATGAAAAAGTTTATGTAGGAGCTTGAGGTTCAGATATGTGAAGACAAGAATTAGCACCAAATTTTGATTGGGAATTCATCCTGGCTAACAAAGAAGTTTTATATCATATGTTGCTACAAAAAGACATTTTTTCTTAGGGTCTGGTTGATTACTTACTGGAATATAGTGTTCCATAATAAGGCTTTGCCAAAAGTTAAAATTTTACCTTTTCAATTAATTCATACAACTAACTTTAAACCCTAATTTTTCTCACTCACACTAAATATGTGAGTATGATTCCTCAGACATTATGGGACACAACATTAACTAGGAGTGTAGACACATTGATTTTAATATGTTAAGATTAGTAATTGTCAGCATGATCTTCATGTGTGTTTGGAAATAAAACAAAATTTCAGGCTTACAAAAGGAAGACCACATTTTTAACAATGAAGCTGCTCTTTCCATTCTATATTGCTTCTGTTGCCCTTAAGATATTGAGGTGAAGAAATAAAGTAAATTCCATCAGCTAAAAATAACAAAGATAACAGAAACACATAAATCAAGTATAAATAATAGCAAGACAAGTGAACTGAGGATTTAAAACAATAGTTGTGGTCTCTAACATCTGGAGTGGATAAAAACAGAGCAATGAAATGCTCTTTAATAGTTTTGAATAATTATTACTATTATCTAAGTCAGTTTTTAAACATTGAGAACTTTTTACATGCATATGCATGGCATCTTTTTTGGAAAATCATGGCTTTTTCTTTGCATGCAAATTGAAGTAAATAAAAATGTATAGTTAGAGTCTTAGAAAGCGTCACACTATTTAACAAAATAATTTGCTTTATTTGATCAATTAACAGGGTGCAAATGGTTCAATATTGTTTTTATGATTAAACCTAATCTAATATTGTAGTGGATAAAAGATAGTTAAAAGATAATTTAACTTCTGTTTGCTTGGTTTTTTTTGATACAGTTTACAATATCGAAGGTGTATCATCATTATTTATGTTCTGAGGAGTATAGTTGAGTTAAAAAGCCTCATGAACACTAAAATGTAAGACTATTTTATTGAAGAATTTTATACTTTATGAGACTAAAGCTTCATATATAAAATACTTGTAACAAGTCTTTAAGTTGCACTTAGTGAAGCATTAATTCACATATACTAATTGAGTAATTATGAATGTATTGCTGTCTCACTTGAATCATTTATATTCTGGGAGTGAAAGTGGGTTGTTGTGGTTAGACTTTTTTTTTTTTTTTTTAAAAACTCATTTTCCAGTGGACTGAATATATTAGTGATGAATGTGCTGTGAAACTAACTGTTTGTTTCCATGCTGGAAAAGTTTCATGGCTCCAGCAATTGCTAGCCATTTTACCACACAGCATCCATCATTTTGTCAAAGTTTTAATGTTTTGTAGTGAACCACCTAGGAAAGAAACAAGGAGAAAAGAATGACAAAACCGCCAAATTCTTTCATTCCATGCCAAAAAACTGACTGAAGTTTATCCCTGTTTGCCCTTGGAACAATTAATGTGACGTTTTCCCGAATGCCATAATAAATTTGATTGTCAGTTATTGAAATGTATGTTTAAATCAGCAGTGATGCAACTCTAAATGCTTTTTTCATTAATGTCATTGAATCCTTAACACACAACCTTGGACACATAACAGAATTAGAAAGCCTTTTGGACCATTTGGCTGAAGTTGTGCCCTCACTACAGTATCTCAGTTTGCTTGGAAACATGGCCTGCCCAAATGAACTGGTCTGCAAAGAAAAGGATGAAGATGACTACCAGAGGTACAGGTTAGTGTTTTCACTTGTAAATACGATAACGTATGTCAGTTCTGTTTTATTATTGGAAAAATATTGAACTAAAACCAAATCAGAGTCTCAAACCAACATCTACTGTATTCTGAAAGCATTGTGACATATTCTGCTATGAAACACCTGGGAATTTGAGTAACCCCATTTCAGTGAAATCACTCTCAGGAACCCTGTTTCAAGAAATATTTCAGTGCTATACAACACATGTTTAAGTTGAGCAGGTGTTCCCAGGATTTCCTGAATGCCGGTGCTCATATGTTCCTACTTACAGACTTTCCTTCTTTAAGACCAAGGTAAGGCTCCATTTATATATGCTAAGGGTGACAGTCAAAAAAAAAAAAAAAAAAAAAATCACTATACTCAGCCAGTTGCACTATCTTCTGCTAACAGTTCAATTATGGTGATGAATTTCTTCTACTATAGTTATCAAGGCACTATTAAAGAACACAGAAGAAAGGACTCCTCCTATATTGTGCTGCTTTACTCAGAGTAGTTAGTGTTTAGGTTCAAATAAAAAACCCCAAACTATCTCTATAATGTAATTTTAATGAGATATATTACACAAAAGGTCATCTGGATATTAATGTGGAAGCCTGATAAAATACTATTCAACTGATCCAACAAAATGTTGCTAAAAATTACAGGGGCTATTTTTTAAAAAATAAAAAGACTTGTGACTGATGATGACTGTGTGTATAGATCCAAAACTTATGGAATGTCTGTTGAAGTGACATAGCTATAACCCTTAGGCAAGTGACATATTGATTATTAAAAAAAAAAAAAAAAAAGGTAATTTGATCTCCTTTTTCTTGCCAACATCTGATACAAGATTTCAGTCTTGGTGTGTTGGCATTTTTCACATTGGCTGAAAATGGCTGCCTGAGGCAAGTTAGAGCCAAGCAGCACTGGTCGCCATGCTGCCAACCTTGCAGAGCCTGAGTTTACTTTTTATTAGCAGATCATCCACAGTATTCAGTGTTATATAATAAAACTCTGATTTTATCTTCATGTAATCCAAACTCTGCTGTAGGAGTTAGTATAAAACAACACAAAGTGGCCTAGACTAAAAGCAGGTTTATTGGGAAGTGACATGAATTCGATGCACCAGTTTATTGCTCATAAATGCTCTAGATTGAAACAGCAGCTCAACTGTCCTGGGTGTGCACATATTTTTTTATTTCTTCCAAAATTTTGAGAAAAATTTCTAAGTTATCATTAGCCTAAAGACTTTCACCTTCTAATGATTCAATTTTTATCCAGATCAGCTGTAACATTTTGGTTTTCACTAAGTAGAGCAGCCTAAATTTAATAAAATATCTTTCCATTGCTTTCACACTTAAGTGGAAGGTATGCCTACTATCCAGCTGATGGGAGTCTGATAGTGCTGTCTTTATGTAAAATTATGTGACATTTGCACTAGAGAATTGCTTAAAAAATGAATGATATTTCTACAGTTTACTGTTTTTCACTTTAAGTATGTTTTCTGACAATACGTCTCCTATTAATCATTTAAGCAAAAGTAGTACGTTAAAGGAGCCATTCAAAGTCAAGAACCCATGGGTCATTTAGTGCTGTCTGAAAAAAATTCTTTATTGGTTGACATCTTCTGTGGTTATGCAATGTAATATTTATAATATGTCACACAGCCATACATCAAAACAAGCATGTCTGTTGTTTCATTTCAATGCAAAAATGTTGATTTCAGGGAGGTCAAGGTAGTTTGAGGTCACATCGTGGCAAACCACTGTGTCAAAGTGTGAAGTGATTGTATTTATGCATCTGCTGGAAACTACAACATTGCATCCATTTTATTTCCTCTCATTTTTTCAAAACACCTGGGTATTTTTTTTTTCATATAAACTAGGTTAATTAAAGCTCTTTTTGGAAAGAATGGACTTCTAATTAGTTGAATGATTTATGATTCTGCTGCTATAATGAAAGCTTCCTGATTCTTTTCTGTAATTATTTGTTAAATTATATGAAATGTGTTACCCAGACAACATTAGACTGAAAAACCAAAAGCATCTATATATCTTATCTATCCATCCATCTATTTATCTTTAGGGGAATATATTCACCTACATGGTGGAACTGATTAAATGTACTCTGCTAATTTTACTCTGAATAGCTAATTCAGAGTTTTGAATATCTGTTCCAAAGTATCTTGGACACAACTTTTTTCTTCCTTCCCCCAGATTTAGAGATTTATCTCACAGAATTAACAGCAGCAAGTTTCCTGAGTGAGAAAGTATTTGTATTTTGTCAGATGTATAGCTTCATATCTCAAAAGCAAACATTTGAAATGGCCAGTTTCAGCCTGTTTAATCATTTGAGTTAACTTTTTAAAGATTTTTATTTTTTTTTGAGAAAATTTGTCGTACAGAAAGCATCAAAAGATTGCATTTCAGTGAACCTGAATTATGTAAACATTTTGCTTTACCATAAACTTTAACTGGTTTTGTTTTTTTCTGAATGGGAACTTCTGTTTGTAAATTTTTGCAGTGACCATTGGAACCACAGCTTCATTTTTCACTGAGCTTTAATTTCATTCCTACTGAGTTCAATTAGAGTTCAGGCTATTTAATTCCTCAGCCAGAAAGAGAAAGGTGCTAGAAATCAAAGCTCGATCTTCTAATTTCAACAAACTGAGAAGAGCTCTAAAGCTCCCAAAATCTCAACCTTAAAAAAAAATGTGGAGAATCAAATGTTTAAAAACCCAAGGTCCAGTGATTTACTGTGATATTTGTAAGAGAGATAAAAAGTAATATCACATATTTTTAAATAATTAGTTTTTATCATAAATACTTGAAAATTTATAAAACTATGTTTTTTGACAAGAAGTTACAATCTGGTTCCTCAGGTAATCCATTGGTATACTAATTTAAAGCTTTTCCCTGTTTTTCATTAAAAGTAGGTTTTATACAAAAACATTGTTGTGGCTTTTTCTCAAAGTAGTTATTTTTTTATAGGAAACAGTAACATTTGAGTCGGATTTTTTTTTTTGGAAAAAGAAAAAAGAACTGTTTATTTTTCTACCCCTTTTATTCCTCCTTACCTTTCAAATGTGTAGGAGAATAAATTGATGAAAACATTTCTGTTTGTTATTGGAATTTTTGCTTGGACAAGAAAAGAAAATGGAAAGTTCCCTTCTGAAGTATTTTTATAAGCAAACTAGTTGGTCCATTGTAAAAACTCAAGTTTTTTTTCCATCATTGTAAAATGGCTTTAGTTTTTTTTCAGTTAAAAAAAAAATTGCCATAATTTCTTTTTTTTTTTTTTTTTTAAAGCTTTCCGTCTTTGGGAGGTGATATTTTGTAAAGGGGTATCTTGGAGTGAGGGCAAGGGAAAGCAGAATACCTAAAATATAATGGTGATAGGAAAGTTTTAAAGGCTTTTGGCTCAAACAGGAAGCAAGAAACACAGAAAAATGGCTTGCAAAGCAGTGCGTCCTCTAAAATAACCTATTCTACAATCTCTACTTTGAAGATTGCCTGAAAGCAGAGGTCATGACCTAGAGATCAAAGTAACAGAAGTCAACACAGTAATTGCTGGTTGCTTCTCTTGTACCCACACTTCGTCAGTCCTGTGGGTGTATTGTTTGCAGTGAAAACTTCAAATGTGGTGTTACTGAACTGTGAAAAATCATCTGGGTCAGAATGTATTACAAATCATTTGTTAATGCTGCAGGTGACCTCACCTATTTTCATTAAAACTATATGATTGTGAAGGATGTATGCCATGTGTGAAGTTTTCACTGCTTGCTCATTCTTCTTTTCTCCTTATTGACATTTCCTGGAATGATGCATTCATTAAGTGCTGTTGACATGGAAACAAGGGCAAGTGGAAACAAATGCCTGAGTTTTTTTTAAATTAGCTTAAAAGTACATATACTAGATATGCTATTTTTGGTGGGTCTAGCAAATGGTGATAACCTCATGAAGTCCTTTTAAGATATAACAGCAAGAAAGGAAGTGCATGCATTTTATACGGATTAATTTTTCAAGCTGAATCAGCTGGTCCCATCCCACAGGTTTGATTCTGTGAAATGCTGGGTCCCCTTATAGCGTTTTCAGTTTCCTTGCAGTTTTATTTAGTTATATTGTTGTTTTGTTTTGTTTTAGTGTTTTTTTTTTTTTTTTTTTTTGTTTTTTTTTTTTTTTTTTTTTTAAATTGAGACAGAATCACTCATCTACTTTAAATAATCTTGTTATTGAATTTGGATGGGAATATAAACACATATTCAAGAAGGAATACGAGACTAGAAGTCCTCAGTAATCAAAATAATGCTAATATAGTTGGTGAAAATCAGTGTACTTACTGTTGAGGCTCTCTTTTAGCAGGAGGGATTGAAGCCTGTGATACTTCTATATATATTTTTTATGTACTTAATGAGATGATTAGGGTATTCCCTTACATCTGTGTAATCTGTGAATCTGTGCTACCTTACTGTTTGTGTTAGGCCTTGTCATTTCTACAGTACCTGGAAGAAAAAAACCCTGTATTTGACAGATATCAAAGAGCCACAAAACTTCCCTCTGAGGTTAGCTACTGTAAGAATTTATGTGCAAGGGCTATTATAATGGTTTTGTTCAGCTAAATAAATTGAAGTCCATAATACCCCAATTTGTCCATACTAACACAGTAAGTCAAGACATAACTATAATTATTGTTACATGCATAGAGAGATACTTTTACAGTTCATAGAGTTGTTTGCTACATTGCTACACAGAGCAGAAGATCTTGAAATATTAAGAGGTGGTCTGCATTGCTGAGTGATTTGACAGCCCCTCAGAATTACGTGGTCATCACCTACCAGGCAGTGCCAAGGTTGTACAGAGGCTATGTGATCCTCTAACATACCTCATGCCAACATCATGCTCTTAGTTCTGGAAGATGGTGGTTTAAGTTTATGACCTGACTTCCTTAACTCTGTATGGAGGAAGTTTGGTTGCAGATGGAAATTCTGCGGCCAGCTATAT